AGGAGAGACTCTTGCATTCTGTGGGACATGGTTTAGGAAACACTAGATTGAGATAATAATCCACTCGTCATGACTATGTAAGTGGCACTACTTTCACAGCATCAGTGGGGCAAAAAGTCTGAGTGGGGTCGATTTGTGCCAGAGCACTAATCCATCTATCCTGCCTGGAACCCGTAAAATCCTTTTGCAAGATGGTTTCCTGAGATAAGGATGCAGCTTGTGGCCAGAGAGGGTGAGCTCATTAGATTTGCATGAGAATCCCATGGCGACCACAGTTTCCTTAGCTCTGGACTTTAAAGCCACTGCTTCTTCTTCTTTGATCTAAGTCAATTTTGTTATTGTCAGGTGGTGGTTGTGGAAGTACTCGATGGCCGTTTTAAATGTTTAAAAGCTCCTGAGATGCACTGCTGACTGTAATCAGGGATTCTTGAATGAAAGCATGTGTCTTAGGACTGCAAAGGGACTGAAAAGACCTTCTGGACCCGTTCTCTCTCTCTCTCTCACCCAGGCTAGAGTGGAGTGGGGTGATCTCGGCTCACTGCAATCTCCTCCTGGACTCAAGCAATTATCCTGCCTCAGACTGCCGAGTAGCTAGGATTACAGGTGCCAAGCCTGTGCTTGGCTAATTTTTGTATTTTTAGTAGAGACAGGGTTTCACCATGCTGTCCAGGCTGGTCTCGAACTCCTGGCCTCAAGTGATCCACTCACCTTGGCCTCCTAAAGTTCTGGGATTACAGGTGTGAGCCACCGCACCTGGTTCGTTTTCTGTTTCTAAGTAGTTAATAATAATATTTTATAAATCTTCAGTGGTATTTTGTTTTAGATTCTAGAACAGCATTTCCCAAATTTTGCTGCACAAAGAAATTGTCTGGGAATCTTTTAATTCCAATGCCTGTACTGCATCCCATTCCAATCAAATCATGATGTTGGGAGTGGACGCCTACATTTGTATTTTTCCAAGATCCCTAGCGATTCCAATGTGCTGCAAAGTTTGGGGACCACTGGTTTAGAAGCACTTTAATTTCCAGACATTTTTTTTTTCCAAATCAATAGGTCTTTTATTGCATCTTTTAATATCACAAATAGGTCTTAGGAATCATCCAGCATCTTGTTTCTGTAGCTGGACATCTCTTAGATCTTATTCATCAGCCTGCTGAACAGTTCCTTTTCCAGAGACATAAATACCATCCAAAAATTTCCTGATATCCTTGATTTTAACTGTTGTGGCTTGCTGAATCAAAGCCGCTGAATTTGAAACAAGCTCAATGTCGTTGCCTTCAAGGATTAATTCATCTTTCTGGGCTTGAGATACTGAACAAGCAACACCTGGTCTCATCCAAGCCCTGTGGATGTGTTTTTCACCCGAGAAATTTCAGATTTCAACAGGAGACCCATTCTCCTGGATAATGACGTTGATGGGGAAGTGACCATACACAGACCTCAACTTGTAACGGAAGCCCAGTGTAACACCCTTGATCATGTTCTGTCCACAAGTACAAATAGTCCGAACGGTAGCCAGTTCCTTTCTGTTACCCCACGATTTGTCAACCCGGAGCCCTTTTTGTTTTCTTTCCAAGAAGACTGAGTTCTACATTGATGTGATTGAAGTCCCTCTGGGGCCCTTCATGATAACTGTGTGTCCCTTCAGAGTAATGTCAACATTTTCTAGAATGTTGGCAGTCTGATGGCTGAGAACGGTCTTCATTCTCGCAGTAGACGTGGCAAAGAAAGCAATTTCCAGATATTTTTAAAGCAACTGTGGGGTAGGTGTTATGATTCACACCTATAATCCCGGCACTTTGGGAGGCAGAGGTGGGAGGATCATTTGAGCCCAGGAGCTTGAGATCAGACTGGGCAAAATAGCGAGACCCCTGTCTCTACTTAAAAAAAGAAAAAATTATCCAGGTATGGTGGTGTGTTCCTGTAGTCCCAGCTACCCAGGAGGTGAAGGCAGGAGGATTACTTGAGCCCAGGAGTTGAAGGCTGCAGTGAGCTACGATCGTGCCACTACACTCCAGCCAGAGTGACAGAGTGAGGCCTTGTCTCTAAAAAAAAAAAAAAAAAAAATTTACAGAACTGTGTCTCTCTGGGACAGGAGTTCATCCTCATCCTCATTTTGTAAGTGACCACTGGGGTCCTAAGAAGTTAAGGAAGGTGATCAAGATGGATTGTTTCACGTTCCAGGTAATTGAATGATCTAGGCCAAACCCAGTCTATCAGACTAGATTCTGAAAATGGTGGGATGAGAGATTGAGTGGGGGGAGTGGGGAGCTGGCCCTGAAAGCCCAGTGGTCTGAACATGGGCTTTGTGTCTGTAGGAAAAACAAGAAAGCCGCTTCAACACTCTGCCTCCTGCCCCTCCCGTCAATGCTGTTTCTGTCTGTAGACTGCTGGTTTGCATTTCATTTACAGGGACACAAAATGGAACCTTTGTGCTGGAATTGAAGGAAATTATAAAAGCCCACAGCTTCTCTTCAGACTTAATGTCAACTATTTGTCTCCTGTTATTTTCAAACAAACAAGTCCTTCCCATGAGTTCTGAGGCAGTCTCAAACACTCCCTCCCTTGGTTCTTTCTATGGTTTCCTAGTCCCTGCTTCAGCAGGCATGAGAAAAACCCACCATTTGTAGACTTGTCCTATCAGTCACACGGCACAGCTGTAGGGGTCAGGTGAGTCCTGGCCAGAGGCTCTGAGCAGAGTGGTGGGTCACACAGATGCACACAAGTCTGGAAACCAATGTTTGACCAAGACCGCGCTTTCCTCAGGCTTCAGGTTCATCAACTAGAAACTTAGAAGCAATGATGAAAGAAATGACTCCCAAATCTCCCAAATACTGCCAGCTGAAACATATTTCCACCATCTGGCATCCTATTTTACATATGAGAAGATGAAGAAATTGCTTTCTTTTTTTTCTTTTTGGAGACGGAGTCTCACTCCATTGCCCAGGCTGGAGTGCAACGATGTGATTCCAGCTCACTGCAACCTCCGCCTCCCGGGTTCAAGCGATTCTTCTGCCTCAGCCTCCTGAGTAGCTGGGATTACAGGCGTGCACCACCATGCCTGGCTAATTTTGTATATTCAGTAGAGACAGGGTTTCACCATGTTAGCCAGGTTGATCTCGAACTCCTGACCTCAGGTGATCCACCCTCCTTGGTCTCCCAAAGTGCTGGGATTACAGGCATGAGCCACCGCACCCAGCCAAGAAATTTCTGACAATGCTAAAATATGGAAGACAAGTAAAGAGTTCTATTTCCACTAGAGGTAGAGAGAGGCCCAAGTTGAGTGGCCACTTGCGTGTTCTGCTCTGTGTTATGGGGGACTTGGAATGGATGACTTTAAATTCTGAGGCCCTATAGTAGGTCTTAGAAGGAAAACTAAGATGCTTTACCGTACAATTAAAAAAAAATGATGACATGAAAGTTTCTCTAGGTTAGATGACTATTTGAGCATTATTTCTTCCCTAGCCTCAGAATAATGACATTGTGAATTCTTCTAGAACTGCACTGTTGTGGAAGATTGTCATTGATACCTACAGCAGGGACTCCGTAAGATCTGTCTGTAAATAGGTTTGACCAAAAAATGCCTTTTTTTTTTTTTGGAGTATGAATGAATCTCCGGGATGCCATCCTTTGTTAGATGTGTTATTAAAAAAAGGCTGAAATGTGTGAGTAATTTACTCTATAAAAATAGTGGAATTTATTTTTAATGACACACTCACTAGCATTCCACAATAGTTCCTTGATTAGGGAAAAAGGGGGATGAAAAACCTGGGAAGTGTTTATCTCAGAGGAGTGTTCCATGCAGAAACGAGTCAGTCCTCACGAGTATGTGGGAGCTGATAAAAAAGGCTTAATACTCACTACTCAGTCTAAACCGGGGCTACTCAGAGTATGAACCACAGACCAGCAACATCAGTATCATTTAGGAGTTAGTTAGAGATGCAAATTCTCAGGTCCTCAAAACAGACCTACCGAATGAGAATCTCTAAGGTGGGACCTGGGTATCTGTGGTTGCACAAGGTCTCCAGGTGATTCTAGTGCTTGCTAAAATTTGAGAAGCACTGCCTTCGACCCATGGTTCTCAAAGTGTGGTCTCCAGACCAAAAAGCACCAGCATCATCTGGGAGCTGTTCAGAATCATCTGAGACTCTTTCTCAATGGGCATTTGCAGGTGATAGTGGAAATGCTTCATGGCATTTTTAAGTGCTTAAACGCTGCAGAGACGGCAAAATTGAGTATAGAAATGTAATGAACTCTTAGGTATGTGCATTTGTCTTAGAGCTGGAAAGGAACCAAAAAGATCTCCTGGACCCATTTCTTGTCTCTAGGTAGTTAATAATATAACCTTACAAATCTCCAGTAGTTTTTTTTTTTCTTTCCCTGTTTTGGTTTAAAACAGTGGTTGCTAAATCAGCAACTCTAGAGGTGGGCCCAGCAATCTGGGCTTTAACATAATCTCTCCAGGTGGATGCAGCCTCAAGATTGAGAAGCGCTACATCACGGTTTCCATTGGAATTCCCCCCCTGCATGGCCCCATAGAGCATTAGACTTCCATGTTTCAGCCTGGGCTTGGGGCCCCGGTAGCTGACTCCTGGCTGCTGCCCATCTCTGCTACCTTCTCTCCCTGATTCCAGGCTGAGAAGTGCAGGTTGGATGTCGCGCTTGTAGTAATGTGACCACTCTCGGAATCTGGTAGAGGAGATAGCAAGGTTTTGAAATGGGGACTTTTTTTTCCCACTTCCTCTCTGTGAACCAGCCTCCACACGGCCCCCAGCCTACCCAGCCTCTTTCCTGCCATGCCTGCAGGCCTTTGCGGGGCTCACCTGGCCTGTCTCCAGCTCCACAGAAAACATGTCCTCTTCTCAGGGCATGAAGTCACCTTAGCCTGATGCAGAGACCATATAGGACTTAGGACCTCCCCCTCAGGGTGGCTACTAATCACTTTCCTACACTCAGGCCAGTTTGAGGAGGCTCTGGCTAACAAGCGTATTTTCCCATAGGAATCCGGACCTGTGATGTTAAGAAATCAGTAAATATTAAAAAGAAGATGGATGCAAGAAGGATGAAGAAAGAAGGTAGGGTTGGGAGCGTTACCAATGGAAGCTCCTGCCCTGGGGCTGTCTAGGGTTGGAGGATTTGCAGTGGGAAGAGGCCACTGGGCGCCCACTCTTGTTATGCTGGCAGAGAACAAAGCATGTTCAGGAGATGGAAGGGGGTTGCTGCTCGTTTTTCTCCCGGCATTTGAGTTTGGACTCTGCCAGATTCATGCAAATGCCCTATCCCACAAGATCTTTACATTTGCTTGGAGGAGGCAAGGGTGAACAGTCTGTGCTTGGAGGCCTTGCCGAGAATTTTCTAGTGAGAGGTAATGTCACACATGACTTTTACAGGGAGATGGAATCCTTCTACAGCACATTCTTTACTGACAGCTCTGTCCCCAGACAAGCTCCAGCTCCTGGACATGCACGAGGTAGTGTGGGAATACAACCTACACTTCACTTGATTATCCCCACTGACAGCATTTTTTTTTTTTAAACTGCATTCAGTTTGGAGATGTCAAGATGACTCTTGCAAAACTCCAGTTGAACTGACCAAAGAAATAGAGAATTAGGGAAAGAATGCACCACATAAGAACACAGAGGAAGGTAGCAGCTGCAGGAGAGAAATGGAATCATTTCTGCTAAATAGAGTGACGTTGCAAATGAAAGATCGGAAGGACTGACATGCCCATGATTTTGGATCTGTAAAGGAACAGGCTGCTTGATAAACTAATGGACTGAATTTCTAGCAACACCTACCCCTCTTGGCAAACACCCCAAACTTCTGGCCAGCAACCATAGTGAAAAGCTTTGTGTTTTTTTGAGCCTTGTTAAGCTTGAGTTCAAACCCACTACTTGTTAGTCGTGCAAGCTAGTCAGCCTCAGTTTCGTCCTCTATTAAATGGGGAGAATACCTACCTTATAAGGTGTAACTAGGATTAAATGAAATAGTTTGGGCTGGGAGACATAGCCAAAAGTTTTAGGTACCATTTACTGATTACTACATGTCATGTACTGGCTAAAAGCTTTACATAAATTATCTTTAATCCACAAGAAATTTCCATGAACTTTGTCTTGTTCTAATCACCATTTTACAGATGAGGCACTTGAAGTTTAGCAAGGTTAAGAAACTTGTTCAAGGTTCACAGCTACGAAAAGGGTAGAGTAGGAATCTGAAGCAGACAAGTATAGAACCCATGCTTTTAAGCACTAAGATGTACTGTTCCAAGCCCTTGAAATAATTATTTTCTTTAGTTGTCAGGCCTTCGATTAACCACTTTTATTGGTGAAAAAATAGAAGTTTAGGGGTAAAACAATTTGAGGTTATGCAAATATTTAAAATCAATCAGGTCTGTTTGATTCTGTCTCTTGCTCCTTACGATTCTGTCATTGTTTAATTGATATACTTTCTAGGATGTCATTCTGTTCCCCTACTTTGAATTGGATTTTATTCTGACTGAATACAAGGGGTGCAAAATAGGGAGGACTTCAAAATCTGGTTCCGAGGCCTTCCCATTGTGTGAAGAATTGAGCTATTGTATGTGACTGCCTCTAAATGGCCTGCATTTCTCTTTCTTTGCTGGTAGGACTCACAGAAAACACTGGACTTCCCCGGAAGCTGCTTGAAAAACACGACCCCTGGCCAGCCTATGTCACCTATACCTCCCAGACAGTGAAACGACTCATTGAGAAAAGCAAAACTAGAGAACTGGAATGCATGCATGCCCTTGAAGAAAGCTCCTGGGCATCTAGGCAGAATAAACCTTCCAGCGTCATTCAGCCAAAAAGGAGAAAGTCGTCCAAGTCTTCCGGCAAAGCTGTGTTCAGGGACATGCTGTCAGAATCCACGTTATCAATGTGGGGTGCTTATTCGGTATCGGCCATGGCTTCTACCATGATCCCAGAACCCACACGCTTACATACGGATTCCAGAGACTGTCCAGCTGAAAACTATAACAAGATCATCTTTGCCCGAAAGCCTGTGATGAGGATGCTCTCTACAGTTCGCTACTGACCAACAAGGAGAAACATGCAAATGTTTAGCTAGGGGTCCCTGCAGCCATCCCCCAAGAACATACAGCAATTAAGCTCCATTTACCACTCATTTCATGGTGTCCTTTAAATCTGAACTTGCTCTTGCTCATGCAGAGCTTGGTTGAGAGAAACCAGATTAGAATGTGAGCTGTAGGTGGGTGGGTGAGTGTGTGCCCTCCCACACTGCTCTCTGATGGGGTTGGGCAGTCCCTGGCTCTAGTCTCTGCCACAGATGCTCAGGACCAAAATATGGGTGATTCGTCTGGGTCCAGGCAGGAGATAGAAATCACACCAGCTGTTTTATTAGAGATAATATAAAGGATGATTAACCAGGTGACAGTAAAGGGCAGGAAGGGAATACAAAGGTATGCATGGAGGTAGCACCACAGGAAGCAGGCATCACACTTGAGACTTGGGAACAAGAGGAAGATGCTGGACTCATTGAAAGGTAGTTGCTTGGAGAAGGGACACGGGGCTGAATCTCAGACTTCTGAGGTGGGGGAGTGGGGATGCTGCTCAATGCAGCTGGTATCTCTGAGCTCCGAGGAGAGCCCCTGTGGGGATGGTTCCCCCGCCTTTGAATTGGGGAGCTGTTTTGTTGGTGTCTCTGAGGGGACCCCCACTGAGGCTGCTTTTGTGAGTGTTGGAAAAACCAAAAACTGCATTGAAACGTTTCTGGGAGGAGTTGCCACTGCCCGGGTGAAGAAAAAGTGCTGCTAAGGTTAGCAACCTGTCTGGCAGGGACAGGAAGCTGATAGAAAGTGAACAGGAAACAAACAGGAAGTGAACAAGGAGCCACTTCCTACTTCCTCCTTATCCTTGCAGATGCCTGCTAGCGCTCCCGAGGGCAGAGCCTGTCAGGGCACGAAGCCAGAATGTGGTTTGTAGAATCCCAGCCCCAGCATCTCCAAGCATAGGATGGATTTTGAAGCCAAGAGAAAATTAGCTCTTGGTTGGGTTCTGAGTGATCCCATCCAGCTGCTCCTGGACCTGGTATTGAGAGGTTTTTCCCTTGGAGGGCAAACAAAGTGGCAGTGGGGACCAGGGTGCCCCCTACTGAGAAATGGAGAGCCCTTTTCCCCTGTAATTCTCTGAGGTTTGCCTTGTGGAGCCAAGTGCTTGGGGGAGGAGCTCCTGGCAGGACTCCTGCTGTTATTTGTCAGAGGACAGCTAGGATTGGTTCACCCATGCTCTGAGTTGGCCCCAAAGCGAGCTATGCTGAACTCTTCTCCATCTCCAAGAAGACAACCTTTGTCTTTACATGCAAGAGGGATCCAGTTATGACAGGCTGACCCAGTTGGTTTTGTGTTTGGGGTTTATCTACTGAGTAAGGCTGACCTTACCTGAGTTTCTGTATGTGTATTTGCAAGACAGTTAATACTAATCCAGCATCCTTCACAGAGATGTAGTAACTTATAGAAGTGTCATTTGGAAAAGTCGAATTTGCCCTACAAGGCGTGTTCTCCATTCAAGGGTCTTGTGTAAACGTTTGCAGACACAGGTGTGGCGTTGGAGAACTCACCTCTGGCTCCTCTGCTTTTGTGTTGGGACAGCTGCCTAAATTAGGAGCTCTAGACCTGTTCTTGGTTCCCAACTGTTGGTCAGAATGAATTTTTGCAAAAATATAGGTGGTTTCCAGGGAATTTGAATGATTGTATTTTGTGTCCATGGAACGTTTATAGACATGGAGGCAGGTGATAAATTTCTCCAGTACTTTTTTTTATCTCTTTTGTTCTTTTATGGTTGTTCATTTCTAGGTTATATTTGGGAAAGTATAGATTATAGAGACTCAATGAGTGTTAGAGCTTATTGGAATTTGGGGTTATTTCTTTTAATACCTTGAAGGGCAGAGTAGTATGGTAATTTACTGAAGATTGCACAGTTTTTTTTTTTTTTTTTTGAGACACAGTCTCGCTCTGTCGCCCAGGCAGGAGGGCAATGGCACAACCTCTGCTCATTGCAACCTCCACTGCCCAGGTTCAAGCAATTCTCCTGCCTCAGCCTCCTGAATAGCTGGAATTACAGGCATCCGCCACCACACCCAGCTAATTTTTATATTTTTAGTGGAGATGGGGTTTCCCCATGTTGGTCAGGCTGGTCTTGAACTCCTGACCTCAGGTGATCTGCCCGCCTTGGCCTCCCAAAGTGTTGGGATTACAGGCGTGAGCCACCACACCCAGCAAAATAATTTTTCTATAGATATCATTGTTTAAATTAATTTAATTCTCAGTCTATTATAACAACACAAGCATGAGCCTAGGATATCATTAACATCTGATGTTGTGATAGAAATTGTCTGTGTTCCATGACTGTGGTCCAGAAGCATTACCTCCTAAGGCAATGTAACAAAGAAAAAGAGTCTAATTCCTTTTAATGGGGAACTCTGCTCAAGCCTGAGCTGGGACTCGCAGGTGTGGCTAACACTGAGACTTAACCAGCCATGACTACATGAATTCCGCCAGAGACGAAGCAGCTGGATTCAGTAATGAAGCCTTGGTCACTGGGGGAGGAGGATGATCCTGGGGGAGGAGGATGACCTGCCATGTCTGATGCTCAGATGTGTCCCTTGGTTCAGCTCTTTTTGAGTGCCATGTGGGTGGTAATCAATGATTCAAACTCTCAAACTGCCCTTTCACTAAAAATCCTTGAAAGCCCTGGGGTACACATACAAAGTGGGGAGAGGTCTTGACTTCACAATGCATCGACAAGCAGGTCCCACTGCTCTGGGTATGGACAAGAAACAGCCAGGTCTGGTAGACCCCATGGGTGCTTGGCAGGACCAGCTTTGTTCATGAGAAACCAAGAGACATCCTTGGCACTGCCAGAAATAGACATGGAGCCCTTGCTAAGGCTTCATCACGAGCAGCCAGGGCATGGAGTGGAATGCAGGTTATTCCTAATGTAACCTCATCTGTCTGTCCAAGCTGGAGAGGCCCCAGGGTATCTCAGATTACACTAAACATATTTAACTTACATCTCTCAGAGGGACCTGCTTTCCTCTGATGTTCCACAGCCCGCAGCCTCTTTTTATTTATCTCTTCTGCATATGGAATTTTCTGCTTGGCAGGAGAGCTGTTTCAATTAGTCTCCCTGACGTAGCAGGTTCATGAAACATCAGAATATGTATTTTGTTAGTCCGTCTGTGTTGCTCTGTAACTAAGGCCCGGTCTGACACATATTGAGCAGCTGCTTCGAGCGGATTCTTTGGCTCCCTGTACGGAGTATGGTATTTACCCATTTGCAGATTCCACGGTTGGCGTTTAAACAGTTGAAGTTTAACCTCTTCAGCATGACTGAGCCTGCTGGTCATTTTCATGTCGGCAGGAGCTGTTAGGACATCAAATAGTTCCACATTCTGCAGCCTTTCTAGCCATGGGCTGGGAGCATGTCTTAAAGGATGTTAGTCTGCGTGACAGATAAGACGCTGCAGGAGGCTGGGCGCGGTGGCTCACACCTGTAATTCCAGCATTTTGGGAGGCCGAGATGGGTGAATCACCTGAGGTGAGGAGTTCGAGACCAGCCCGGCCAACATGGTGAAACCCCATCTCTGCTAAAATACAGAAAAAATTAGCCAGGCGTGGTGGTGGGCGCCTGCAATCCCAGCTACTCAGCAGGGAGGTGGAGGTTGTAGTGAGCCAAGATAGTGCCATTGCACTCTAGAACCTGGGCAACAAGAGCGAAACTGTCAAGAAACAAACAAACAAACAAACAAAAACAAACAAAAGAGGCTGCAGGAAAGTCTTCAAGGGGGTAACTCATAAACAAAGGCACAGTGCAGATGTGGGCAAGCCACAGATATTTGGGGTGGCCTAGGAGCCCTCTGACTGGAATAGGAGGTCGAGTGAGAACTAAACAAAGAGCAGTTGTCGACTTTATCAACAGCAAGTCTAGGAACCCCTTTGGAATGAGACTAGAGCAGTAGGATCAGTCCCTTAGTCTTTTTTTTTTCGTCTTTTTTTTTTTTTTTTAATAGAACAGGGAGAACAAGATGAGCACCCTGAGGTAGGGTTTTGATCCTTGGGTCCTAAAGGGGGTCTTCAGAGGCAGTGGAGGAGTTACGTGGAGCAGCGCAGCTCTCGGTGCTGGAATCCCAACCAGGGACTGACGATGCATCTAGGAAGACAAGAATCTAGGAGTAGGAATGGCAGCCCTGCAGCCTCGCTCCATGTGAACAGCGGTTGCGAAAAGATTGTTAAAGTTCTTTGCGAGCTGGGTCCCAGCAAATGTACGTATCTGGACAATGTGGCTCTTTTCAGCCTCCATTGAGTCATTCATTCTTGGAGGCTTTTTGGAATCCCCACACTTTTAGACCAAAGGGCACATTTTCAGAGCCCACACATTATCAGTGCCAGATAAGAGTAGACACACTGAGAAACCAGGGGAGGTAGAGCCGGGGAAGGGGAGTAAACAGGGACCTGAGGTTTACTGTGATCTGATGTTGTCAGAGCCGGGGCTGAAGCTATGGGCTGGGCTTATGTTTGTCAAGCAACCAGGAAAATCTCTGTCTTTTTCTTTGACTACACATCTCCACATCCCCTTCCTGCTGTCCCTCACCCGGAACCCCGAGACTTCAGCCAGCTACTGTGGTGCTTGCAAACCCCACAACAGTGTCCTAGATCTGTAGGGCATGGCTAGGCTGGGCCTGTCCCCAGCTCTGAGGATGTATGTGGGAACATGGGGGCATGCTGGGCAGGGCCAGATGGAGATGAAGAAATACCTCACGTTAGGTGGGGCTTGAAGCCACCCCATATTCTCTGCCTTGAGCCTGACGATGATCTGACTTCTGTATGAGGCAGGCCAGAATATACAGGTACCCACTCTTGCTAGCACACTGCTCAGGGCAGCAGATGGCATGGAAAGGACCTTCGACTTGGTGCTGAGACCTTGTCTTTTCTCCCAGGCCCTATATTCCAGGGCCAATGGAAATTCCACCCCCATCTATGGCCTTTCTTAGAAGCTTCTATTGTTGGGGGCCCGGCAAAGCTCATGGTTATCAATTCACGTCCTTTCTAGATTCAGTTGGTCAGTCACCCAGAGCATTCCATTATTTTTGGTAGACAAAGGGATGTGAGAAGCCACAGGATTTCAGGCAAGTTAAAAACCTGACCCTTGGGGTTGTTTCTATGTGTCTGCCAATGGGGAGGGTTTTTATGGGGAGCAAAGTTAGTCCCAGAAGTACTAACTTCTGGAAGGAAGACAGGTGGCCCTCAGTGTGCCAAGCTCTCTGCTCATAGTTTTGCATTTTGGAGCTTGTCTAAGCTCCCACAGACTTAGGCCCATGCTCACTACTTGATTACATAATTATGGAAGGAGGAGAGCCCCTTTGAGATTGGAACTTGGGCCTCTCAACTCCAAGTGCAGGCTGCTTCCCCAAAATTCAGATCTCCTCTTCATTGGTGTTACCCATGACAACCCTGCTCGTGTCCTCAAGCAGAGCAGATGAGTTTGTCCAGTGGCTGCTGGCCCCAGCTTCAGTCATGGCTCCTCCATTGTGAAGCAGCCCCTCTGGAGACCCCTCTTCATGTGGCTGATTTACTGTGTGTCCCTGGACCAGCAGAGGTAGGATGGTGAGGCTGAAGGTCCCGAGACCTGGGCGAGGTCAGCTGTGTTTGCCGTCATATTTCCAGAGCCCTGCAATGGCCTGGCACAGAGTTGGTGCTCAAGTATTTATTGAGCAAGTGATTTGTGAGAACAAGTCTTAGCACCCAATCTAAAATGCACTGGGAAGAGGTGGTATCTTTCATCATGTCCAGAGGCTGGAAAAACCACTTGACTTTTATAAAGTTTGAAACACTGAGTTGGCAGCTCCGCTATGAAGGCTGTGATGGTTTCGTCTAGTCCCAAGAGTATGATTTGAGTGAACTCTTCAGTAGGTTCCTTTCATGTACCCTTCCTTATGGGATATTAGAGAGAGAGAAGAAACAGGAGGCACAAGTTCAAAAAAACTTAACATAGTGATTCTATTCTTTTAAATGACCAATCCATACCTATCTGATGGAATTCCAAGTAGATTTCCTTTTCTTTAGCCTTCATCAGAAGGGACGTAATTTCCCAGACCTAACCTATTCCTTGTTCCCATGTTTGCAGCATGCCAACAGGCGCTCAACAAATATGCACCCAGTGCTGCCTGTGCCAGGCTTGGTGCCAGGGCCCCAGCCGTGCACACAGGAGACGCAATCAGGCTTACGTCCCAGCAGTGGAGCGTTAGACAAGCGCATGATCGCATTGCAGTGGTGATGCGAGTTACGAAGTGCAGGGCTCTGTGAGTGTATTTGCTTTAGGCTCATGACGTGTTCTCTCAGTCTCATGAAAGAGGGATTACGGAAAGAGGCAGGATTAGTATCAGGACAGCTGCTCATAAAAAGGAGTGAGGTCATGGAGAATTTTTGGCCAAGTTGAATGTGAGTGGCTGGGTACGTTTTTAAAACTTTGCAAAGCTGCGTTCGGGTTATATTCAGCCCCTACATCCATGTTTGTTTCTGTAGCTCCATGGAGCGATCCCTGGTTCAGACAGGCTTTAGGTCAGGGCATCTCTCTCTGTAGCCCAGTGTAGTGACAGCACAGAGGAAGTGTCAAACATATGTACGCTGTTTGTTCCAGGTCTCTTATTCCCTGACTGACTCTCTATCCTAGAGGACTGAGCTGGGCAGCTGCGAAGGAGACCTCAAGGCCCCATCAATGTCCTCTCCAGACCTGGGGCAGGTGCCAGGTCTAAGCCTTT